ATGAATTGTCATGGGAGGGAGAGAGGGGGGGAGGGAGGAGATATGGATATTTCAAAAATTCAACATATATTGTGACAGAAGTCAAGATAGTGGTTACATTGGGAGGGAAAGGATGGCAGGTGGAGTGGCTGAAAGGATGGAGCGATATTCTAATTATTGATCTGGGTAGCGATTACACTCTGAGGATTCGATATACTTTATGAAAGTATGCTATAGTTCCATAAAAAGTTAATTTAAAAAGTCAATAGCATTCTTTGTTTACCAGCAACAACCAAAAATTAGAAAATGAAAAGAAAAAGGCATTACTAAAGAAAGCAAAACCAAAGTGGAAAAATAAGCTTCAATTAGAAGATCTTTGAAATTTACATAACATACAACAAATAGAGGTTAACATATATTGAACAAGAAGAAAAAAAACTCTTACATACCTTACATACCTAAAGGGCAAAGGATATAAACCGGCTATTCAAAAAAAAAAAAAAAAAAAAAAAAAAAAAAAAAAAAAAAAAGAGTAGCTAGAAGAACCAGTAAGTCTTCTCCCCTAGTGCCTTCTGAGGGAGTGCTGCCCTGGCGATATCTTTGTTTTGTACTTCTGTCTTCCAAAATATAAGGGAATAAGTTTCTGTCGTTTTAAGACATCAAATTTGTGGTAATTTGTTATGGCAGCCCTAGGAAAATAATACAACTCCCTAAAATTCAGTAGTTTCATTTATAAATCTATTCCCTAGAGCACTGAGCCTCTGTAAGATCCAAAACCCCTCTATAACAAATATTTTGCAATTTATGTATAATTTCTTAGTTATATATATAACTAAAAAATAAGCCAATATCCTAACTGAAAAAATATAGAGAAATAATTTATAATAAAACATGTATTCTATATGTAAATGCTCAAGCAGTACTAAACTAAAAGATATATTTGTACCTATATATACAGAAGCTACATGAGATGGACAGTTTCAAAAGCAGAATGACAGGTGTCACATATTGGCAACCCAACACAAGTAGGGCTGACACTGGTGCCATGATTTTCTGAAAAATAAATTCTTAAAATTCTAAGTAAAACGAAGTACACTATTTCCTCAATTTACATAGTAATTGTATTCCTGGAAAACTTACGGTATTTTAAAAGCTTCCCGCCAAAGAGAGACTTTACAAAACAGAGTTAGGTTCTTAATACCAAATAATTATAAATAGGTTTTCATCTACATATTCAATGGAACATTCAAGTCTAACAGAATATCAGACAATTAACACTAACAGGACCCCACCACCACCTCTATGGCAAACAAAGCCCAACAAATTTTTTAAATGCTCCCTAGAGTACTGTACCTGCCTTTGAGAAAAACTGTCACTTTGACACCAGGAGTTATGTACAAATATAGTCACTGCGACATTGTAATATTAAAAAAGAGGAAAATACTAGCATGTACAAGTTCATCAATAAGGTAATAAAAATTAAATCACTGTCATATAAACAAATAGCATTATATAGCAATTAAGGAAATGAACTAGATTTGCAAAAAACAACACTGACAAATTTCAAAAAAACAGTGAAGTGGAAAAAACAGGTTTGCAGAAAGATACGTACAGTTCGATGCCATTTGTATAAAGTTTTAAATGAAACAATAGTAGAGGTAGTACACAGACATACACAAATATGTAGTAAAAGTACAAAAACCTGATTGAAAAAAATACATTCCAACTTTATCCATGGCAGTCACAACCTGGTAACAACCCAAATAATTACATCAATAAAGAAAATAAAGAAAACAGAAAAACATGTTGTGATATGCACATACAATAGAATATCACTCCACGATCTAAAAGAACTACTGATAAACACAGCAACATGGATGAATCCAAAAATATGATGAGCAAAAGAAGCCAACACAAAATATTACACACTACATGGTATTATTTACTATGAAGTTCAAGTACCAGCAAACTAATCTATAGTGACACAAATCAGAAGAGTAATTCTCTGCATGGGGCTTGAAAGGGGTTTAAGGTAATTTCCTAGGGTGAGAGTAGTGTTCTAAATCTTGATCTAAGTAATGGTTACATGAGTGTATGAATTTATCTAAATCCACTGAAAATTAAAAGGAAACACTGTGGGAATGAAATATAAAACTACTCTATATTAAAATGTACCAAAGAGACCTAACAAGGAAATTCAACATGTAAACTTTGATTTCTGGTTTGATAATGTTAACTATACAATTCATTTTGGGGACAACTGGGAGAGCTTGACTATGGATTAGACATTAAGCAATTATCATTAATTAACTGTGTGATAATGGTTTTGTGGTTATATACAGCAATCCTTATTTTTAGAAGATGTATATACAGGTATTTAAGATGTATATACAGGTATCAACAACTTTTAATTTTTCAGCAAAAATATTTATTTTCTACATATGCATACACATATGTACAGATAAATCATATTAATGTACATAGGTCATGGGATATAGTTATTCATTGTGCTATTTTCCAGATACTCTTAATTTGAAAATGTCAATATAGATATAATCTTCAGGATATACTTAGTGAAGAAAAAAAGCAAAGCGCAGAATAGCATAAATAATATGCTACCTATTGTGTAAGAAAGTAAAAAAAAATACATGGAGGGTATTGTGTGTGTGTGCACGTAAGTGTGTGTGTGAGTGCGTGTCTATCTGGTTATATTACAAAAGGAGATACTAGAAGAATAATTCGAAAATGAATAAAAATGGTTACCAATAACAGATGTAGGTAGTAAACAGATTTGAATAGGGCTGGAATTGAGACTTCTCTATGCAATTTTATAGTTTTAACTTTTATACCATGTAAATGTAAAAAATTAAATTTAAAAAGAAAAAAAGTTGAAAAGATGTTAAAAAAATCTATGGTCATATAATTCTTCTATTCAATCAAAGCCAAATTAATCAAGCTTTTTAAACTTGTATGGTTATTAATAGTCTTTTCTGCTCCTTCTCAACATCAGAGGCATTTAACCTGGCTGTGCTAGTCAGAAAACTTATCGTCTTGTCGTAGATGTGCCCCTTAAAAGTTGTGTAACACTAGAAAAATAGTCATGCCAAGCCTCGATGATTTTTTCACCTGTAAAAAGGAATAAATCCAATGAGAGCTAAGATTTCTTAGAAACATGAAATTCTGTCTCAAATGTTTAAAAATAATTAAATAGGAAGGTTTCCACCCGCATAATTTCTTAAGCCTCCACAAACAACAAAGCTCCATTTTACATTAACTTTCTGCAGTACAACTAATACTGAGCAGAAAGAGTAGTGAAATAAAATCTGTTTCTCAGACTCCTTCAGGCAGTGATCAGTTACAGTACAACAAAGTACTTCCTCTTAGAAGGTCTATATCCGCAAAGGAAGGGAAGCAGCAGCCAGCCTGTCAGGCTGCAAAATCCCATTGGTTAGCAGGGGAGGAAGCAGCAGCCAGTGACAAAGTCTGTTGAGTTTTAGTAACTGCC